AGCAGGATAGGGACCCTGGTCTCTCATCTCGGAGACTAGCAACTAGATTGCTTCCCAGCATCACTGTTGGATTTGACATAGAAAGGTTTTGAGATGATTGTTCTCAATTCAAAAGAATTTTTTCTTTTATTGGGATAATTTACTGCATACTCCCTATAAATATGGGTCTTTTTTCAGGGATCAGTCCATTCCCTAAACAATCTAATTCTCATTTGTGTCATGGTAAAGATGACAAGCCAGTAGCAGCTGGTAAGAGTTGTTTGTGAATCTATGATTTATTTTTTGCTTATACCTCAAACTAGATAATTATCCACTGTGCTCATCCAGTAGGTTGGTTATAAGTCATTAGTAAGGATTAAGCTATAAATCCCTCCCTTCATTTTATGAGCATATGTAACTCACTGTTTTCAAGTTTACTTAACGCTTTAATGTGAAAATTTTTATGGTTGAGGCAGAGAGCTGACATTTGGAAAGATACTGATAAAAATAAAGGGATAATACACTTACCAGTTATTCTTTATTCCTATTTGGATCTTGGGAAACTATTTTTTAAAATGTTTTAACAGAAGAAATACATATTTACTGTAAAAAAAAAAGTAACAACGTATAAGTTGTTTGTGATCTTCTCACTCAGGGTAATACTGTTAATATTTGGATTATATTCTTTCAAACAGTTTTCCTATGTTCATATTTTACCAAAATAAAACAGTTTTGATGTTAGTTTGATAAACTATCCCAGGCAGCCTTCTTTGTAGAGTTATGTTTCTCTACACCATCATTTTAATTGTTCCAGTGTATTTAGAAATTTAGTTTTAAAGAACTTGAATGTCTTGTTAACATTTTGTTCTGTTCCTGCAGTCTGTAACATTACCAGTATTTTGATAGATGGCTAAAATAAGAGTTTGGTGGTGCAAGCTAGTGAGCTGAGAATAATTTTAATCTGCTGCTCTAGACTTATATCTAAATATTACTTCAACTCTGATGGTTCCAGCCGAGACACTCCCTGTTCTGGGTGATTCAACTGCAGATACTGCTCAGAAACTCAAGGACCCAGGATGGGGCAAGGAGAAAAGGAGAGAAGTCTGTTTTGCTTCAACAGCCAATGTGCTTAGTTGTTTACAGGTTGAAAATTCTTAGAATTATTACCAAATTACCAAACAAGATTCAAGAGGTGTTTGGCTTTTGTAAATTGGAAGTTATTTGCGGGGAACCAAAGCTTTAAAATTCTGTTTTGACCAATGCCAGTTTACAGCACAGATGCATGCATAAGAAATGTAACAGCACTGTTTTCCTTGAAGAATATTTGGAACCAGTCTATGTGATTATTAATATTGCCTCTTCATGATGCAGATCTGTTTAGTAAATGTGTGTTTGTGCATGATCCTGTGTTTAGAACAAATCTTGAATTAAGGCCAGGGGGATGGAAAGGAGTGGGATTTGTTAGAGACATCGCAGGAGTTGAGAACGTGGGCTACAAGTGCTAATGGAACAACAGGTGGAAGGTCAGATGTAGTTGTTTCTGGGGGTTCAAGTCTGAGCTCTAGAATAATGAGGGTGTTGTTACTGAGAGAGGCAACAGGATAAAAAATAAACATGTAAGTTTACTGAGAACATTTTATTCATCTTCATTTCTCATAGCTGTTTGTATGTAGTAAGACTCAATTATTCATTGGGTTGAATGGGTTCTATCTTAGACGTGTGAAGTTTGGGAGGGGTACCACACTTATAAATGAAACATAGGTCAGGAATTTGAGAAAAGATGGGGGCTGGGGACAGGTGTTTTTGTTTTAAATCAGCTTTCAGATATAATTTGCATATCATACAATTCACCAACTTAAATTGTACAATGTAGTGATTTTTAGCATAGTCACAGAGTTATGTAACCATCACCACAATCAATATTAGGACATTTTTATTGCCATTAGCAGTCACTCCTAGTTTTTCCAGCTCTCACTAAGGATCCACTAATTCACTTCCCAACTCCATAGATTTGCCTATTCTGGGTTTTTTATATGTATGAGAACTAATATGGTTCTTTGTAACTGGTGTGTTTTACTTAACATAGTATCATCAAGGTTCATCCATGTTGTATCACAAATCAGTATTTCCTTCCTTTTTACAGCCAAGTGATATTCCATTGTACGGATGTACCACATTGTTTATCCATTCATCAGTTGATGGACATATAAGATGTTTCCATTTTTTGGCTATTGTGAATAGTGCTGCTCTGAACATTTGTGTACTAGTTTTTGTGCATATATACTTAGGAGTGGAATTGTTGGCTCATGTGGTCACCTATACGTAAAGGGACAGTTTTGAGTCATCTACATAGAAAGGCTGCAAAAACAGGTCATCAGAAAAGTGAAGCCTGAGAGGTGTGTCAAGGATTAAACTTTTTTTTTATTTAAAGATTTTATTTATTTATTCAACAGAGAGAGACATAATGAGAGAGGGAACACAAGCAGGGGGAATGGGAGAGGGAGAAGCAGGCTTCCCGTGGAGCAGGGAGCCCAACATGGGGCTCGATCCCAGGACCCTGGGTTGATGACCTGAGCCGAAGGCAGACTCTTAACATCTGAGCCACCCAGGTGCCCCAAGGATTAAACTTTTGAGACCACTCATACCTTAGTGGCGGGTAAGGGAGAGAAGCTCTTGAGCACGTAGTGGCAAGAGACCCAGGGAGCTGATCTCCCTCAACCAACCTGCTCTTCTACAGTATCCTTTCCTGCACTTACTCTTCTGGTCTGTATGTGGTGTTATAACCAAAAACTGGATTGTATCTGTTGTTGGGAAAGGGAAACTGAACCAAATGAAAATGAGCACCTCCTCCCCTTTTTTGGCATCCGATAGCAATTCTACTTTAGCTGTTAACCCCCACATGCACATACAGACACTAAGTGGCCTAAAATCTAAAGTACCTCTAAAAATATTCAGGAACTAGAGGAGAAAGGGGAAGATTGTAGCTCCAGAAAGGATACGTTTTTGTCAGCACCATTTATGAAAGTGTCTCATTTGATTCTCACCATGCTTCTGGACACAACAGTTTCTCTCTCCTTGCTGCTTTTTTGGATTCAGATTTTTTCAGCAGCCTTCCTGTGTTCTCTAAACTTAATGAACCAACACTCTGATTTCCTATAATTTCTAGTATTTAAATTAGTAGTGTCATGTTATATACTTTTACCTTTGGGGAAGAGTTCTTCAAAACATTAAGGACACCCAGTGGATGAAAGCATAGGAATGTGAGTAAGTAAACTATCCACCACAGATTGGAAAACCAGAAGAAAGGCAGAATGGTACAAAGTGAAAGGACCTATCATCTGTCCCGCCTCAGCCCCCAGCTTCAGTCTTGATAGCACAGGTCAATGGATGGGATCTTCTGTGCAAGGAGGAAAGATTGTAAACCCAGGAATAATCAAGGAGCAGGTGCTTCCTGACCTGGAGGTAGAGCAGTGCCTTTTGTATAAGTGACATGGGCTCCCCCCAGAAAATCAGGGCAGGAATAGGGACAGTCCAAGGAAACTGAATTGTAAAGATTTACATGGTGTATTGGAGAGTCCCTCCTGCTCAGAAATCTGAATGTGGTCAATGGAGAAAAGGTGAAACAACTCAGCAGTCAAAACAGTTGGGTAGCCAGCAATGGATTTTGCTTGTATGTAATATGTTTATTTTGGGAAAAGATGGATGTTAGAAAGTGGTAGGAGTAGAAATATGCTGGCTTTCTGAACTACCCTTTCCTGTGTGCATTTTGGCCAAAGGGATTTGCCATCAATACCTCAAGTAAATCCTTGTATGAACTCAGTTGCTAGAAAAGTCTCACCTTTTCTCTCCTTTTATTAGGATTAGGGAGAGCATCAAGAATGAAAGCATGTAGTATCTTATTTGGTTAACCAGTTTCCACCTTGGTCAGATCAAAGTGGGTTTTGTTGTGGAAACTGCACACATTTGGTAGACTAAAATGGAAAGGTTACCAATCAGGAAACTCTAGTTCCAAGCATACCATTCCCTAGCTGTGTGTGTGTGTGTGTTTTAACTTTAATAATGTAGTTTTATGAACTACACAAATATACATATTTTAGCAAATAACTCATGTTTCCACTCTCCAGTGCAAGAGGTGGAACATTCCCAACACTGGAAGCCCCTTGGGTATCCCTCCTGCCCCCTCAGATAACCCTGTAATGTTTTAGGCAGGTCATTTTTACCTCTTCAGTGTGATGTTAGGATCTATAACAGGGTGGTGACAGCTGCTCTACTTTGCTCACGGGGTTGCGAGAATCAAATTAGTTGTGTCTGTGAAGGCACTTGGAAAATCTCAAGATGCTGAATAAAAGAGAGGATTCTGCTGAAGGTCTGGTTTAGTAGTGTCTTGTGCCAGTCTGGGTAGACACAGCTCAAGTGTTTGGTAAGCAGTAGAGGAATGGAATTCTGTTGTCTCTAAACTTTCATAGAGAATTATTCTTGAGGAAAAGTCAGTATATTAAATTCCTCAGAATCCCTCAGTGTCTGTTTATTCCGCAAGTATTTACTGAGTACCTTCTATGTGCCGAGCACCTCTCCCAGGCAGTGGGGATAACAGCAGTGAACAAAACAGGCAAGGTTCATGCCCTGAAAACAAGTAGAAAATCATCTTTATCTTCTAATTTACATCATTTCTATCCTTGGATGCTCAGACATTTCTTATTCTCATCTACGTTTGCTGGCCCTCCAGGTTTAAATTGAGAATCGTTCATAAGGCAGTATTTGAATTGAGATTAGACAGATGTCTATTAAAGGTTTAAGGTATTTATTTTTCCACTAATTCACAGTCTTTAAGGAGGATGTTTTGGTGCCAGGTTGTTGTCAGCAATTGAGGTGGAATTTTTTGTCCTTATTTTAGCCAGTTTTAGCTGAAACAGCTTTCTTCTACCCTGCAAGGTTTTAAACTTTTATCCCTTCCTTTGATTTGTGTCAGGGTGAACCGTTTGATGTAAAAGACTTGACTCCATAATCTTCCATCTGCCCTAATGCTGTCATCCGGAGTAGAGACTCAGCCAGTTCCACTTGATTCCTCCATGTCTGCCGTGGTACAGGAATTATACTCTGAACTCCCAGTGAGTGTCTCCAAAGAGCTTCATGCTGACCCTGAGCCAAGTGTGATTCCAGATGTAAAACCTGGAGCCTCAAGCTCTCTTATAAGTCAGAGTAGGGCAGTGCCCTTGGAGCTGCAGAGGACTCGTGCGGAAAGTTGTTGTGAAGAAACTTCTGGCGCCTTGGATCATGGGGGTGAGCCTGGGCGGTGTGGGCTGGTGGACTCCACAGCAGGAGGTTCTGTGGCTTCTGGTATCTTGGATAGGGAAGAGAAAACCAAGAGCATGGAGCTAAAGGTCTTCAGAGATCAAGGGGACCAGGCGGAAATTGTAAGAGACCCCTGTGAGGGAGCAAAGGAAGACCCACATCAACATTCCACAGCTGCTGAAGAAAAGATCAGCCCGAGTCAGGTAAGACATGAGATCTCAATTCAGATGAGTGTGAATGACAGCTTTCCAGAGTAACACTTCACATGATAAAGTACAGATGCTGACAGGTAGCTTATGATTTGTTCTTGAAACATTTCGAAAATGTTGAGTTTGATGTTAACTTTCTTTTGATGATTTTTTTAAAACATTTGTGTCACATCAGACACTTGAAGAGAGGAAGTGCTTATCTAATGAAAAAGTGTCACTTCTCTGAAGCAGCTACTGTATGTGGAATGTTGAGTCTTATGGTAGTCATGTGATATTTCTGCATCTGATTTTGAGAAATGATGGGTACTCATTCCTTAAGCTTTGGTAGCATCACAAGTAGGATGGAGGGACATGTCACAGAAATATCTCTGAGGGACTCTGCTTACCCAAGTAGGGCTTCATAGGATGGATACCCTAAAGGGATCTCCGTATTTCAGGAGCTGGTCCTTAGCTTTGCAGGTCCAGAAACTTGACTTTTATTTTTTAGTATATCAGAGGTTATCGTCTCCAGCGGACTGACCCATGCTAATCCACTTCATGAGAGACTATAAATCAGAAAGCCAGTTCTTTAATTCACGGTGAAAAGTGGTATCATTACTTTGTAGGAATGGTCACACTGGCTGGTCAGTATGTCTTCTCCCTGTAGGCAAGCCTACATGGGAAATCAAATCTCTCTCTGTAAGTGTGAAATGAGAGTAACAGGATTCAGGTAGGTAAAACTAATCATTAGTGAGCCGTGATAGCCTGAGGAACCCAGACTCCTAAAGGAATATACCTGCCAAGTACACTAGAAAACTTACTTTCTCCTGTGGATGGTGCCTTAGACCAGGGTTCAGCAAACTTTTTTTCTGTACAGGGCCATATAGTGAATATTTTAGACTTTGTAGGCCATAGGGTCTCTGTCAAACTACTCAGCTCTGCCCTTGTAGCATGAAAGTGGGCATAGACAATACATAAATGAATGAGTGTGGCTGTATATCAGTAAACCTTTTTTATAAACACAGGTGCTGGCGCATGGGCTATAGTTGGCCAACCCCTACTCTAGACCTACAAATAAATTCATATTCCCTGGGCTTTCTGGGCTAAGCTCCATTTCCCACCATATAAATATGTCATTAGTTTACACAGGTTACAGGGCAAAATTGATTGTTGTTAATAGGCTTCATACATTGACCGTAGTTAGGAATAGGTGAATCTTTAGATAGCAGTAATTAAGTAACATATCAGATTTTATGCTATGATAACCTACCTTTAAAAATATAAGTGAGGTGGGTGCCTGGGTGGCTCAGTTGGTTAAGCGACTGCCTTCGGCTCAGGTCATGATCCTGGAGTCCCGGGATCGAGTCCCGCATCGGGCTCCCTGCTCAGCAAGGAGTCTGCTTCTCCCTCTGACCCTCTCCCCTCTCATGCTCTCTCTCTATCTCATTCTCTCTCTCAAATAAATAAATAAAATCTTTAAAAAAAAAATATAAGTGAGGTAACAGTAAAAATTTCTTACTTCTTGATATGGTGGGCTTGGTCTAACAAGATAAAAATTTTCTGTAATTTACCTAAATCTTCATGTAATATTTGGTATAAAATAAAAGTACATATACATAAATTATTGAGTACATAATGAATACAGTACATATATATATGTATATATGCCTCCCAACCTAAGATCTAGAAAATTACTGTCCCTTTCTTCCTCCCAGCTCCACCAGAGATAAATACTATTTTGAGTTTTGTAAAGCGAAATGAAGTTTAATAGATACAAATGTAAGATTTTTTTACTTGGTTCCAAAAAGTGAACTTCATAAGTGAAAAAAAAAGCAGAAGTACTTTTGGAGAAACAAAAGAGCTATAGGCTTTAGCTAGTCAATTAGAACTGACTTTGTGGGATAGCCACCAAGAAAAGCCAATTTGCTCTTAAATGTACATTAACAGAAATGTGTTACCTGGACTGAGAAGTAGCAGTTGTAGTCTGTTGTGTGTTGGTTAGTCTATAGTTAGAATATCACACTCACAGGCCCCTCTCCCCACCCCAGCACTCAGATAAGCTCAAGAGGCCCTTGGGGTGGGGAGGACAGAGGGAAAGCAAGGAACGTGTCAGGGTTGGGGTCACTGGCCAAAGTGGATCCTGTCCTCCCCATGCTGAGCCTGGTGTCACATGTATCAGGTGTAGGAAGAGTATAGAAAACCAGAAATGCATTCATGATAAAGAATTCACACTAATGACAAAATCTAAAAATTCACCATTAAAGGCCACTTGCTTGGGTGTGTCCTATGAAAAAAGAATCAAGAGAAGCCTTCAAGAATTTGGAAAGCTGTCAAGCAGAAGTGGTTCTGTTGGGCACAGTTAGGCTCCGTAAAAGACATAGTGATAGCTCAGTCGTTCTCAGGTCACAGGACCCTTTGAAAATCTGGATGACTGCTGCAGATCTCAGAAAAGCAGACTACTATATCAGAAGGTTTGCAGAGCCCAGACATCCTTGGACATCAATATAAGAATTCTTGCTAGATTGGCAAAACACCACAAACAGACAAAACAATTGATGAATTAGAAGAACATTTTGCAATATATATCACAGATAAAGGACTTATCTCTCTAATATATAAAGAAGTCTCTCTTTTTTAAAAAAGGTTTTATATGAGAGAGAAAGAGAGAGTACACAAGCAAGGGGAGTGGCAGAGGGAGAGGAAGAAGCAGGCTCCCTGCTGAGCCGGGAGCCCAGTGCAGGGCTTAATCCCAGGACCCTGGGATCATGACCTGAGCCAAAGGCAGACACTTAACCAACTGAGCCACCCAGGCACCCCATAAAGAACTTTTTTTTTTTAAGATTTTTTTTTTTTTTTAAAGATTTATTTATTTGACAGAGACGCAGTGAGAGAGAGAACACAAGCAGGGGGAGTAGGAGAGAGAGAAGCAGGCTTCCTGCTGAACAGGGAGCCTGATGCAGGGCTCCATCCCAGGACCCTGGGATGGTGACCTGATCCAAAGGCAGACGCTTAACGACTGAGCCACCCAGGCGCCCCTTAAGATTTTATTTTTAAGTAATTGCTACACCCAGTGTGGGGTTCGAATTTACAACCCTGAGATCAAGAGTCGTATGCTCTACTGACCAAGCCAGCCAAGCACCCCACTAATATATAAAGAACTCTTAGATTGAGGAATGGAAAACCCAATAGAAAAATGAAGGAAAGACTTGAATAGATTTTTTTTTTGTGTACGTGTGTGTGTGTTCGTGTGCTTGTTCTTAAACACATGAAGAGATGGTCAACCTTACTTATAATTAGAGAAATGTAATTTTAAACAGTTGAAATACCACTTTTTACCTATTGGACTGGAGAAAATGAAAAATTATAACAACATATCTGCTTGGCAAGGCTGTGAGGAAAAAGGTGTTCTCACAGGTTGCTGGTGTCTACTGATAAGACCTTTCAGAAGAGGAATTTGGCTGCACCTAACCAGAAAGCATATGCTCTGACCTGTTGACCTAACATTCTAATTTCTAGGAATCTACCCTGAATATATACCTCCAAATTATAGAAATACATTTTTTTTTTGTTACTGTTTGCAGCATTGCAAAATGTTGGAAGCAACCTAAATGTCCACATATAGGAGAAAGGTTGAATAAACCATAGTGTATGGTACATCTATACATGGAACATTTTTTTTTTGTAATAAAGAATTGAGGATTTCCATGTACCGATATGGCATGATTTCCAGGTGTGTCATGGCTCCCCAAGACTACCTACAGGTTTGGGGATTCCCTGGAACTCACTTTTTTTTTTACATGGTCATATTTGTAGCTAAGATTAATTGTAACAAAGGATATAAAGCAGTCAGCAAAGGGGAAGAATGGTGCAAAGTCCAGAAGATCTCAGGTGCTAGCTTCTTTTTTTTTTCTCCCACTGTAGTTACATACACACACATACACAGCCTTCTCCAGGAACAAACTGACAACACGTGTGAAACGTGGTCTACCATGGAAGCTTTTTAGAACCCAGGGTTTTTACTGGGTGCTGATCACATAGGCATCCTCTGCCTGGCACATACCAAAATACCATTTTTTTTTTAGGAAAGCAGGTGTTCAATATAAACCCCATTGTCATATGGGTGCACCTTTTTTTTTTTATCATTCGGGAATGTTGGAAACTCTCCCAAATGTAAGTTCCCAGATGAGCCAAGGCCACCTTGCAAGCAGGCCTTTCTAAGGATAACAGGCCTGCTATGTTAATTTTTTTTTTCAAACTGAGATACACTGGTAAATGAAAAGAGCAAAGGGCAAGTAAACATCTACTGTATCCTCTCATTCAAGAAAGAAGGGTAGATAAGTATACAAGTATCTGCTTTTTTTTTTTAAGCACACATGTGTACACATAGGAAGGATAAACCAGAAATGAGTGGGTTTGATTACCTGTAAGAAGCCAGTGGGAGCAGGGTAGAGAGTGCGGGAATGGGACAGAAGGAACAGGAGGAAGTGGCACTTCTTGAGTACATCTTTTTGTATAGTTCTGAGGCTGTACTTGAAGAATAACTAACTAGACAACCAGGATGTGAGCAGAATCCAGAATTAAATTTTTTTTTTTACAAATGATTTTTTTTTAAAGATTTTATTTATTCATTTGACAGAAACACAGCGAGAGAGGGAACACAAGCAGAGAGAGTAGGAGAGAGAGAAGCAGGCTCCCCGTTTTTTTTTTAGCCCGATGCGGGGCTCGATCCCAGGACCCTGGGATCATGACCTGAGTTTTTTTTTTACGCTTAACGACTGAGCCACCCAGATGCCCCAACAAATGATTCTTTTTTTTTTTTTTTTTTTTTTATTTATTCATTTGAGAGAGAGAATGAGATAGAGAGAGAGTTTTTTTTTTGAGAGGGTCAGAGGGAGAAGCAGACTCCCTGCTGAGCAGGGAGCCCGTTTTTTTTTTCGATCCTGGGACTCCAGGATCATGACCTGAGCCGAAGGCAGTCACTTTTTTTTTTTTGCCACCCAGGCGCCCACAAATGA